AATGCGTGGTTGTTGAGATACAAGTGTAGAATATATCGCATTTACTATGGTGTTTTGGGGTGTCCAGCTAACTATAGGGTTTGTCCAGCTATGGGGTGAAATACGTTAGATAAAGTACTAACTTATTTTAATATATTACTATTTTTTACTTATATATTAGTATTAGGAGGTAGTTATACTTACTTACTACTAAGATTCATATTAACTTATATTTAAGAAATAGATTAAAAGCTTTAAGTACTATATGAATATAGATTTAAAGTAAAACCAGCCTAAAATAGTATAAAATTAGTAGTTAATATTATATAAAAGAGAATATATGTTACGCACTGCCTAACTGGTCACAGTTATATTAGAAGCTTTCCTGATTATACTTGCTTATGCTGGTCCTCTAACGTCAGCGATCTATCTCTTAACCGAGCTATTACTATATATAGTCTTATTCTAGCCTAAGTCCTTTTAAGGGTATCAATTTGTTCTTTTCCAGTACTTGGATGAACTATAAACCCTATCGGCGGGCAATTTCTTATCTGTTGATGTTATTCGGGGGAGGATTGAAAGTTTTGTGGAGTCCTTTATTGACTATAGGGGCTTTGGAGCGAGAAATGACCATGTTGGCTTGTGTCAGAATGAGCTTAGTCTTGCTTCTACTCCTGTCATCTCACTAGAGGTTTGTGATTCATTGATATTAGGGCTGTTAGAAGAGAAGTATTATGATGGGATTATGGCGAGTTTTAAGGAGCTGGTTTCGTTCCTTGGGCTGCTTTTCAGACTTGGATAGAATATAATATGGGAAATACTAGCTAGATCCAGAGAAATTCCCTTATCAGTATGGCCAAGTCTGTGTGAGAAGACACAGTAATCTACGTGTCTAGATTCAACCTCCGAGTGTTTACTTCTAACGCAGTGGATGCAACATGTAATGTCATGGATTTCTACATTAATATCAAGGTCTCCCATATTAAGACCTCGACGCTTCCATCGGGAAGGTTTGCTAGTAACAGCAACAGGCCATACATCCTGCATGCATAAGACAAATCACACTGCAACTTTGACGAAAAGCGCATAAAGTTACATTGCGCATTTCCACAAAAGAAATGGAAACACCGCCTGTCCTTGAAAAATGGAACATCGGCCAGAACTCAAAAGACTCGACCGTTCACGGAAACCTATGCGCCAAGATCGTAAAATCGCGCAATGTCCGTCGCCTGGGGGCTGAGGGGTTTTCTGTCGTTATTTTCCGTCATGGTATTGCAGTAGAGTATTGAACATAGTATTAGGCTGACATCCGGGGTATCGCCTGTATCAATCATATCGCCCTGTGGGGGTCGGGCCAAGACTCGTGCTGAGTGTGCTTTTCAGTCTTTGCCGTCTCGCGTTGAATTCATGGCAGGCGGGTCCGCGGTTTCGGTCCCCGCTTGCCCGGACGCAATTCCTGAAGTAGTTGTTGCAGACGACGCACTCTGGGAAGTTGTCAGGCCACCGATTTGTCTCTCTGTGGAGGAAATTAGTATATGCGCTTAAATCGAGATCCACATCTCGGGGCGGGGTTACTCCGCAGAATTAGGCTAAAAACGCTAACCTGGGATTTTCTTACCTAGTTCCCGGATCCGTTGCCGAAGGAGCACGTTTTCTCGGGCTAGCGAGCTCGCCTCGGCTTGGTAAAAGGCACTCTCGTCCCGGCTCCCGCGCCGAGATGGACTATCCCGCAACCCCGGGAATGGCTCCACGCCCTCCGGCCCACGCGAATCTAGCGGCCGCAGGTTCGGCGACGCCGCTTGACTTGAAGGTCGAGAGTTTCGGCGGTTTGAGAATGAAGAAGAGATAGATAACCTGTTGCTGGCTGGAGGTGCTGCCGGGCCAGGAGGAAAGAAGGCCGACCGTTCCGATGCCGGGGTTGTATCGTCGATTGCAGCGGTTGATTGCGGGTTGTGTTGCTGCTGGTATTGATGCAATTGGGCTTGCTGGCTGCGGATCATCTGAAGAAGACGGTTCTATATTCCATCATGGTTACCCGATTAGCTTACTACAATTTGGCTTCCACGAATATAAAGATCAACCCACCACTTGTGCCTCCTGTTCTTGCTCCAGCTCTTGGTGTAGCTCCCCCAAAGAGGGTGCGCGTTGGTGATGGGGATCTGCTGTCGCGAAGATGGGGCTTCCACCGTGGCTAGAAGGGCTGGCTGTGCGGAATGCATGTCCGATCGAGCTGCGATGATCGCGGTGGTCAGATGCAGGTAGGTCGATGCTAGCTCCTGGACTAGTGCCCTGTATCTCGTTCAGATTCATGCCGGCAGCGGACCGACGTCGCTCGGATACCGATAGGCGGCCTATACTTGAGCCACGGGATGGCCTTGGTGAGGCGGTGTTGGGGTTCACGGGGACCGGAACAGTTGCAGGAGCGGGCATATTACGTTGCGGAACCGAAGACGAGGTTGAAGATGAGCGGGATGGGGGAAGGGAATTCAGATCCGGTGACATCTTCAACTAATAACTGTGTAGGGGTTGAAGAATATGTATGATGATTGCTGAAGCTCTAATCTGTAGGCAACGTCAGACATCCATCCCGCCCAGCCAACCTTACGTGAGGATCTGCTGACTCATTATCTTGTTCGCGTGGTTAGTCACGTGACACAACCCCCGTTTTATGGAAACTGGTGCCTGAGGCTTCAAAGTCTTGAGAGAACTGTGGAATGCTCTAGCCCTGGAGAAGCCTATAGACCGTCAGACTGGATCCCTTTACACCCCGAGTGAACATGTAAAGCTCGGATTCTTTCTCTCGGGGCTTATAGGATTCTTCCGGAACATGGGCCAGGTGTCCACAGGTACTAAGGTCGAGCCACAGCAAATCATATCTTGGCCCCTGGTTGCGCGCAGGCCAAGAGAGATACAACATACGCCGGTTTTTCCGAGTGGCGCACAAATTTACAAATTCTAAGAGTCAGGATTCTATACACAGATTACATGTAAACAAATTTCGGCTTTAGGATCGCCGCAAAGATCATCAAAGCGTCGCGTGGCGCTCTAGATATGATTTTGTCGATCGCAGCAAGTTGATTTGCCATGTGCAGGTATGTACTAGAGTCCGGGTTCGGGGTACGTGCGATGTCCTGTTGTGGTTGTTTCCGGACAACAATATATTCCCCCTTGGGCGCCCTTGGGTCGGGCGCTCAAGGGTGATGTGACCTGGAAAACCTTCTTTCTAGTCTTTTACCCCAGTGGGCAATCGCGGGTGAGGATCAGGAATCATGGGGAAATGTAACAGTGAAAGGGTTAGGTGCCCTCTGCAAGGGATTCCGATCAGGCCGTGTGGTTATAGATGTTTGGTTGACAAGTACGTAATTGACAGCCTTCCAAAAAGTGTTCTGGAACGCAAGGCCGGGAGACCGCCGAGTAAATTCTCTCTTTTTTTTCTTTTCTAGGATATGAGAATCGGGCCGGCATTTAGGAAAGAAATAAAAAGAGAGGGGAAAAAAAAAAAAAAAAAAAAAAAGCCAATGGTCAGCCGATCACAAGGTAAGCGTACTCCGAGAGTCAGAACAAGAGTTATGGCCCTCCAGCCCTGATGACGATCAACGCCACGCCCGTAAGATGGACCGCCATGGCGATTCTTGGTGCCCTTTAGCCGCAGTACCTGTCCTGGATATGATTGACGAACGACTTGGCCTCTTGTAGTGACCTGACGTCACATACGGCGAAGGCAAGTAATGGGCGACTTGGCAATATCTTGTTTTAATAAAAGACAAAGTCGAGTTGGGTGGTTTGATGGAAGCAACCCATGGGTGTATTTTTCCCCGGCGTTTTTTTTTTTCAGCCCCTTTTGTCATTTTCATCGACTTTGTATGGAGTCCACTCCGTACCATGCAGAATGTCCATCACATATGGGGAACCATGCGGTCGGGCACGGTCAGCAATAATCGGACTCCTTACTTCGCGGGGCATATGGGGTTTGATATCCCGATCTTCTAGAGTAGTGTTGGTGATGTCGACGTGATGTTGCATGTAAAAGATAACAGACTCGAAGCGGACATTCTCTCGGCCCAGAGCGGCAACGGGGAAGTTGGCTGGAGATGGTCATAGTTTTCTCCAAGGTGGGTCCGATTACCCCAATGCGAGCTTCCTATTCCGGCTAATTAGCCCTGGAAGTACCAGAAAGAATCAAATGTTTTCACCTAAACTCTTTTATGTTTTAGGTAATGAATTGAAAATTGCAGCAGTTGTGTCCAAAGGGATCAAAAAAAGGCAAAAAGTCTTTGGAGAGTCTGGAGAGTCGTGGAGAGAGAAGTCTGGAGAAAAAGAAAAAGTGGGGTATTATGGACATCGGCATCCCGTCTGGAGTGTATACATGTACCTATGTACCTATGTACCCATGTAATGGACGTAGTGTGTAGTGTATAGTAAGTACCAAGTATTCAGGTACATCTGGTAATAAATTAAACAATTAATTTCTGGTCGATCACAGAAACGTGGAGAGTGACATACTGGAAACTCTGTACTAGGACTGTAATGGAAATGTATTGACAAGTTGAACCCTGGAAACATTGACTCTTTCCTGCATTTGGCTCTTGCCTTTTTCTCTCCGTTTCTGTATTTAATTCCTCCTGTTTCCTCTTTTTCCCTTTTCTTTACTTCTCTCTCTCTCTCTCTTTCTATTGATATTCTCCAAGCTTCTTGTGTCCTCATTTTCTGGGGTTTCTTCTACTATCACTGGTCTTGATACCAGTTTACCTTATACTACTACTTATACGTCACAGGAGCAATGGCGATCAACTCCGAGAAACCCGCGAGGGATACCGTGCAGGCAGCAGAAGCTGCCCACGCCCAAGCCGTTGTCAATGCCGCTACTGAAAAGTTAGAGGAAGAGGATCAGCTCGAGGAGGCCTCACCCACACCCGATGAGGTAGTCGAGCTCACTGAGGACATGTGCTACGATCGACTGGGATACTCTTTTAGTGAAAAAAAGAAGTGGACCATTATCACCGTGATCTTCCTCGTACAGACATCGATGAACTTCAATACATCGCTCTATTCGAACGCCGCCACAGGAATTTCAGAGGAGTTCGGTGTCTCCATGCAGGCTGCACGCTGTGGTGCCATGATCTTCTTGGTTCTTTATGCCTTCGGTTGTGAACTCTGGGCACCGTGGAGTGAGGAACTGGGTCGTAAGCCCATTCTCCAGGCATCTCTGTTCCTTGTCAACGTCTTTCAGCTCCCCGTGGCTCTGGCCCCCAACTTTGCCTCCATCATGGTTGGTCGTGCCCTCGGTGGTCTCTCTTCTGCCGGTGGCTCTGTCACCCTGGGAATGATTGCTGATCTGTGGGAACCTGATTCGCAACAATACGCCGTGGCCGCTGTCGTGTTCTCATCAGTTGGTGGATCGGTGCTTGGCCCCGTGGTTGGTGGCTTCGTCGAGGCGTTCCTGCCGTGGCGATGGAATATCTGGATTCAGTTGATCTTCGGTGGTTTCGTGCAAGTTGCCCATTACCTGTTCGTCCCAGAAACCAGAACTACCGTGATGATGGATCGGATTGCCAAAAATATGCGCAAGACCGGAGAGAACCCTAATATCTACGGTCCCACAGAGGGCGTGTCGTTCCGCCAGCGTTTCCCGCCTCGTGAGCTTATGGCTACCTGGATTCGTCCCTTCAAGATGTTCCTGACTGAGCCCATTGTATTGGTGCTTTCTCTGCTGAGTGGTTTCAGTGACGCTCTTATCTTCATGTTCATCCAGTCGCTCTCCCTTGTGTACGGCCAGTGGGGCTTCAACACCTGGGAGAAGGGTCTGGCCTTCATCCCAATTCTGGTGGGCTACTTCATCGCTTGGTTCTCCTTCTTCCCGATCATCAAACGCAATGTCAAAGAGCGCCGTGATAATCCGGAGAGCGAACGGGCACAGTATGAGTCTCGTTTGTGGTGGCTGCTGTATACTGCCCCCTGCCTACCCATCGGTCTGATCGGATTCGCCTGGACCAGTCTGCCCCAGTGCCACTGGATTGGATCTATGATCTTTGCTGCCATTATCGGTATTGCCAATTATGCTATTTACATGGCCACAATTGATTACATGATCTGCGCCTACGGACCATACTCTGCATCTGCGACAGGTGGCAATGGGTGGTCGCGAGACTTCCTTGCCGGTGTCCTCACCATTCCGGCCACGCCGTTCTTCACAAGTAAGTTGCCACATGCAATCAATTTTCGCATTCTTATACTGACAATCTTTGACAGATATCGGTGGCGAGCATCATCTTGAATACGCCTCGACCATTCTCTGTACGTCTATCTTGCCCTATCTCCCTACTTGACTCATCGATCTAACATTCTACTAGTCTGCATCTCCGTACCACTTGTCGTTGCGGTCTATATCATTTACTGGAAGGGCCCCACCTTGCGCAAGCGTTCTCCATTCGCCCAGCAGCTAGAGGATGCTCGACACCAAATGCAGGTCCAGAGCCGACGAGGATCCAAGATCCCTCCGGCATCTCGCGCCAGTTCATATGCGCGCTCCCGGCAAGACCTCCGCATCCGCCCAACGCTCGGCAGCCGAGGCAACTCCCGGGTCAATTCTCAAGTGAACTCTCGCGCCAATTCGCGCCGCAACAGCATCAACCTCAATCCATGATGGCTGTGTTCTTGGTTTTCTATTTTTGCTATGAATACCCATATCCAGTGGGAGTAGTGATGGAACTGAAACCACTGCCATAGGAATCTATGAGCCTTTTCACATTTCTACGCTGTGCATGTTTTTATCGACGTCAATCCTACGCTGTGCGTGGCTGGCTCTAATTCTTGCACCCGACGCTCGGTGGATATTCTACTCCCGGTCTGTGGCTTTTTGGCCTTGTGCACTTCGATTATAAGGCGAACTTAACTAGAAGGCGCGGGTTTCTAAAAATTAATTGTCTTTTATCTTCTGTGCTTGCTTTGACGCGAAAGACAAGATTTGCGATCTGGGGGGTTTGTCATGTATGCTATAGGTTTTCGCGACTAAGCGATCCCAGTTATGGATTATACCATTATTATTGGCCGAACAAATTTCTTTATGGTTGTCAGTATGTGAGTATACAATGTAGTAAGGTGAAGATATTTGATTTCTTCCGGCCATGCAATGATTTCCAATCTCAATGGCAGATATTGCCTGAGCAGCACGAGCACTGCGAGTATGTCGAGCCCGATCTAACAATACATCTAGATCTAGCAGTACATTCATAAATACGTTAGTGCAACATTAGGTCCTCGGTCTGTCCCAGCACCAAGGACACGGTAGAGACGATGTGGCATTCTTGCCGGAGGTTGGGGTTGATCCTTGTCCGGTTCCGGCCAGGACTAGTTATAGTCAATGAAGCCGAGGGTCTGATTCGAAGAAAAGAAACCGCTTTTAGTATCATCTGTGAAATCACTATACTCTCAAACCTGGGTCACATCGAGGGCTTGTGGCTTTGTTTCTCCCGGAACATCCGGGGCCAGACCACTCGGGACTGATTAGGACTAGTGCTAAATGTTAAATGTAGTTTGATATCACTCTCTTACTTTCCAGGCTTGTTGTACAGTAGGATTCGAAAACAGATTACCCCCCAGACACACACGCTTTTTTTCCCAGCGCCCCACTCTGAATATGCTAAACTTAGTCAGGTCAAGGATACTGTAGTCCAACCGTTTTTCCTTGATGTATCTCCGGTAGATTACCAAAATTACCGTAATTGCAATTCCCCGGCATTAGGCAGATCATACTTTCTGAAACGCATACAGCAAGCGATGGAGATGGGGTATGCGACGGGGGGATTTTGATCCATCCTATATTTTGAGGTCAGTACCACATACAACACGTAACTATCCCACCAAGAAAACTATCTCCACGAAGAACAGTCGGTAGTACTCTCATCATGAGCTAGATAGGTTGAATTTCGCTCTTTAGCTGCATAACAATGTGATGCGCGGTGACAGTTAAGCAATATCTGAGTGAGGAATCGGAATATACATGTTTTAATTTAGTTACTATCTGGTCGATCGCAATCCTTCGTGTTTCGTTTCAATTGAGTGATAAAGAGCTAAATTGTTGACGAATTCCGGGCTTCTTTTGGGACAACTTATAGTGCAGAAAACTTTCCAATGAATCTTCAAAAGCAGCTGCAAACCTCCGAAATGCACATCCTTGCGAAATTGAGTTGGAGAAAGCGTCATAAGTGTCCGCCAAACTCTCACTCCTAGACCACTCATAGGAGAGATTCAGATCGCGAAGTAGGCTATAAAATCTGTTCTCGAGTTGCTTTGATAGTGAATTCGGTTGATTTGATGTTATGAGCAAAAGCTCTAGATGGCTGTAATATCCCCCAGAGCCGCTCAAGTTGTGTTGAAGTTGAACCTTTGGCCAGGCTTTTTGGCACCAGGCTTTGAAAACATGCAAGCATCGCGACGGTAACTCCAAGCGCTCATAACCAGCCGGGCCCAGTGTTTCTAGAATCCAAGCAATATCGCAGCATAACCAAGTAATGCCAGAACTCGCAAGATTATCATAGATTTCTTCGGACCCAGTATCACCAATGCCGCGAAAAAAACATTTTTCGAAACTTGTTTCCAGGGACGCAACAAGACTTTCCCAGCGTGCTCTGAGATATTGTTCACTCCAAACATTTCGATCATCTTTGGCTGTACGATAAGATTTAGCTGAAATTGAAAACGTTATGGCCACAAGCAGACCAGGGGACTTACCATCAGCAGTGTTTCTTGCCGCCTGACGGCATTCACTTCTCAACGACGTCATCCATGGCTCTTCGGTCCATTTATGCCTCAAGAGAGCGAATGCCTTCGTGAACTCTAGAGTGAGTAGTCGCCTTAGAGAGCAAAATATCGGATAGTGATTAATCGCATAGCTCGGATGGAATGCATTGACGCGTATAGAAGACAGTCCTGCCTCAATTGGGTTTGACGCCGATTTTTCATCGTGGAAGCTCCAGCCTACTCCGCGGCTGCAAAGCCGTCGAACAAGTGTGTTCCGGGACTCTGTCCTGAAGCAGCATATAACAATTTCTGGATTTTTGACTCTAACCATATCCGCGAACACGTCGTGCGCATCTGCAATGATAGTTGAGATATCTGCGCTTGTGGCGGCCTCATCGAGGAGAGGTATAGCATCAAACACGCTAGTATCATCAAAGCATACTTTGGCATTGTTCACGGCAGTCACCAAATCGGATACAGCTTCGAGAGTCGCACAGTCGCGCCTGCCTGCCAAGAAGCCATCTGAGTTATCTTGTTTGGAATGGGGCTGTAACAACGCAATCAATACGCCTCCCTTGGATTCAGGTCGCGCCATTTCAAGGGCAAAACTCAGGTCATATAACGGATAGTCACTGTCATCAACTTTGAGGGATGTCCCAAACTCATAAAGAAGGTGAACGTGCTCAGAGTGTGTCCGACTCGTATCTATCGACGGTGCTTCACGAATGATAAACCGCAGCCGGTGATCAATGGGAATACCTAGGCACTGCATCTTCGTGGAAATGTGAGATGATCAAAGATAGTCAACCTGAATCGCTCGTTTGTGGGGCAAGGTTGTGGGCACTTCGAAGACTTCAGGCCCCTCTTTTGATTGCCTGCACATTACGGGACACAAGCGGGGAATTTAGAACCTCCCTGTCTGCCTAATGCCGGGGAACTGTAATTACGGTAACTTCAGCGATGTACCGGAAATACATGAGGGGTGTACAATAAATGACTTTCTTATCCCAATTAGGTCTAGCACGATGGGAGTGGGGTGCTGGGAAGGAAAGCGTCAGTGTCTGAGGGGGGTAATCTGTTTTCGAAATCTACTGTATTACGTGCATACGGATTTCTTCCGAATGAGACGCTTCCATAGGTACGTAATTCTAGTACATCTCAGATTATACCTGGCACTGGGGACCTCTCCCTTTTTAGTCCTCACCTCTTGCCGCTTCTTGATCTCAGAGTAAAATTGAGCTAGTCATTCGAGATGAGACAATTCACACACATGACAACCTAAACTTTACCACTTAACCTAAATCATAGGCGCTTCAAGGTCTTAGCTAGAATGATGCCGTTCCAGGGGGGGAAATAATAGCGCTCGCCAGGATCATGCGAGTAAGTGGCAACAACGACGCGAAATTCACCTTCCCTGCACGGACTGCCTGCAAGACATTTCCCAGTGTCTGAAGAGTCGGTTCACCGCCACTTTCAGGGGACTTGGATGGGATCGAACGTCCCAGTGTTTGTACACGCGCAAGCATCCACTCTTTGGTGCTGCACGCTCGCCACATTCGTTCCGGGGCAGGAAGTGGAAGTCTGAGTATCATGTTGTCGTTCAGTGGCTCAAAGTAGTTCTCGCCTAACCTTTTGGTCTTCGACTCCATGATGTTGATTATATGAACGAAGAACAAATTCCGCCGAAGAGATTCCATGAATTTCCATTGGTTCCAATCGGTTTCATCCTTGTGATGGATTTGCAGGGCCTTTGAATGCACACTCGATAGTCGTCGGGTCATCTTCATGTTGTGAGTAAAAATCAACTATATTTTGAATGGCTGTACCTAGATCACCTTCAACAAGAATGAGCTATAGAGTTCGGCAGATCTTTCAAACTCCTGTCGCCGCTCCTCGCTTCCATTGCTAAACATGGGCTTCTTAACAGCAGCGGGTAAGAAGCTGTCACCGAACAGTCCCATAATCTGATAAATGCATACAGCATGCATAGCAGCCAGGCAGAATTCAAGGGTATCGGTGTAACTGTGGAAATTCCGCACAAGCTTCTCCCGCTCTTGGGAAATCACACGATCGACAAACCCCGAACCTGAGCCGGCTGTGCTTGCATAGGCACCTACGCAAGCTAAGGCGTCTGTCATTGGTGGTGCCATTCCGCCCAAAGAACAGCGGTATAATCTATGGTGGATAAAGGGGGACCAGAAGTCTCGGTCGAGAATGAGACTAGGGTATTCTCGCAGGTGCTCGAGAATCTCCTGACACAGACTGTTGGTATCAGTCCGGATTTCATGTCCCAGACCGACCATGAATTTGTGCCCGAAGATGAGTTGAGAGGGACTGTAAAGCCTGTTGTCCAGGTTGACGGACATTGAACGCTCGTCTTCATTGGCATTGTCGAGCCATATACGTTCGAATGAAGAGGAATTCGATTGGCCACTCGGTGCAGGTGGACAGGATTCAGTTTCTGTAGTTTGTTGGATGAGACCGAGATACCCTGGAATAGATCGGTCGGAAGTTGAAGTAGACCCGGTCGGAACAGGTTGAATTGGTTCAAACTCTGAAATTTGATTCCATATTAGAGAGCTCCCAGTTATCTCAGTTGGATAAGGCCAAAGGCCATTTGCCATTGTATCCTCTGTAAATTGCATACTCTCAAAATCGAAAGCTGGCCATCTGTCAGGTAATTGAGCGTTGAGATCGAAAGATGTCTGATAGCCTTTATCAAGAGTGTCATCCATTGATACAGTGTTCATCTCGGTAGACTGTGAGGGCTCAGAGGTCGTGAAATTGATGTCCTGTGACTGTTCCTGAATAGTTGGAGCCTTTGTGTTGACCAGGCGTAAATTCATCCCCAACTCCCTGCTGGAAGGGTATTTACATGAGATACCCAATTGAGCACACCGAGCACAGCTAGGGCGGGACAAAGAACAGCGGATTTTCTTTTGAGCGCAGGTTTCACAGGACTTCTGTTTGGATCTGCGGCCCTGGTCTCCTTTGGCGATACATCGACGTCGGTGTCGATCTCGTAGATCATCTGGTATGATAGCATGTTAGATATAGATCTGTTTCTACTGATTTAGTAGGACCATTTGAGCGCAAGAACATACGCCGTGAGTAAGTTTTGCTGCAAATATCACAACGGAATTCATTGTCATTTCCAGAGCCCCGAGAAGGAAGATATTCCGACCTCTTGATTGATGCCTCCCTAGGAAATGCCTCGTTAACTTCATCTCTTTTATCTTTGTTGGGAGTCAATCCCGAAGTATGGAGTGTGGTGGCCATGTGGCACTGTCAACGGGGGAGAGTAGAAAAAACGGGGTAACTTCAGGGAAACCCGTAGGCTCATAGAATCCTTTCACGTAAGCAGACGACACGCTTCGTTCAAGAGAATCGGTCGCTTTTATTTTTTTTAATTGACCGTGTTCTTAGGTTACTTTTGCGCTGACGCTAAAGTAGTCTTAGTGTTCGTGTATAAATTCCATTCGTTCCTTTAGCAATTCGAGATCTAGGCAAACGCTTGGATCACGATCTGCGGCTGATAGTCTCCTAATTTACTAAAGCGAGTCTTTGCTTTGCTTCGAGAAATCTTCCCGACTCGTCACTCGATAAGCAGACTTTTCGAGCAGCGCGTGGCTCTCCTTCAAACTCTTGTAAGTATTGGCATCCACCTGAACAAATCGGGTTTCTTTTCTAGTGACCGGCTCAAACTCAGTGAGGGTACGTGTAGGGGAGTAACAGCCTGCCGCCGCCGAAAGCTGAAGATAAAATAAACTGGCAGTATGAAATTAGCTGGCACCCCAATCGATCGAATATACTCCTCGACCTCTGCCTTGTGGTCAAAGTGAGGGACATGCTTGAGCCGACCACCCGATGTCTCTGACGTTGAGCAGAAACGAGAAAATCAGATGCTGCACCCCAGCCTCTTTGACTGCATCGGCAACTTTTCATGGACCATTTTAGCATCGGATCCGACATGTCTCCAGTTCAGAGTGGTCACAAGGAAGACTGAATGGCTGCCTTCGAATACTTGAACAAGTGACTCCTTCTCCTTTGAGTTCATTGTATAAACATCGAATTTGTTTATATGCTATGAGTAATAGGGGATCTTACCATCTTGACATCGACGCCCTGTTTAACGAGAGCTTGGGCAGCCGGCTTGGATGCATCGCGAGTGATACCACGAATCTTACCTCTGAGAGAGGGTCTTATCCTGTTGAATAGTGCGAATGACAGAACCGCCCTGATGTCCTGTCGCACCAAAATCTGTGATAAGTTTATACATTGCTCTAAATTGTTAAGCTTGCAATAGCTTCTACTTGCAAAAAGGTCGGAAGTCGGGGTTTCTTGTTTTGTAAGCAGCCAGCGTAGTATAAGCTTGGTAACCAATCTATAGTCGGGATATATTTCATTGCCGTGATACTATTCCAAGAATAAACGAATTAATTTACTAATTTACTAATTTCAATTCCAAGTAAATGCCATTAGTCAACGATTGCTTCTTTTCGGGGCATATATGTAAATTTGCTCCGCGCGGGATTGAGATGAAGCCCGAAAACTAATAATGACATATACATTTGTAGTTTTATGCCAGAGTTGACATTTGATTTTTTTTTTCTCGACTCTTCTCCCTAATCAGTATTGCTAATTTACAGACCCCTTCGATATATATTTAATGGGCATTCTCGGGAGATCTCATCATTCGCCCTCACATACACACAGCCAACGCAGCAGAGCGTTTCGTCTACACAATGGTTGCAGTATTAATTACTGGTGCGACAGGGAAGCAAGGAGGTGCGCTCATCAGTAGCCTAATTGCTAGAAATTCATCTTTTGAAGTTCTTGCTGTCACACGCAATGCCCAATCCTCATCTGCCCAGAAATTGGCACAGTTGTCATCCAACATCAAACTGGTCGAGGGAAACATGGACGATCCCGCTGCTATCTTCCGAAATGCACGCAAAGTTTCCAAATCTCCCATCTGGGGTGTCTACAGTGTTCAGGTATGCGCTTTCCAACTCCATTGACGAAATCACTTGGCCTAATTAGCCCTACATAGGTAGCAATTGGCAACGGCGCGCTAGAGGAGTCGCAAGGAAAGGCACTCATTGATGAGTCACTTAAGGAGAAAGTCCGATTCTTCGTGTACAGTTCCGTTGATCGAGGAGGAGATGTCTCTTATACGACTCCGACTAAAGTCCCGCACTTCATCAATAAGCACAACATCGAACACCATCTCGTCGAGCGAAGCAAGAATACCGACATGCGGTGGACAATTCTTCGACCGACTGCCTTTTATGAGAACCTCGTTCCGGGATTCTTCGGCAAGGTTTTCGCGACTAGCTTCAAGATGGCGTTGAAGGGGAAGCCTTTACAGATGGTGGCGACGGATGACATTGGATTCTTCGGAGCCGAAGCTTTCCTACATCCAGAGGTATATCAAAACAAGGGTATCTCCTTGGCAGGAGATGAGTTGACATATGACCAAATGGCGTCGATTTTCCAACAAAAGACGGGCAAGTCGATCCCGGCGACTTTCCAATTCCTCTGCTCAATCTTTATGGCATCGATGAAGGATATGGGATATATGTTCAAGTGGTTCCATGATGGGGGCTACAAGGCCGACATTCCTGAGCTAAAGAGAATCAACCCAGGTCTCAAAGACTTTAGGACGTGGTTAGAACGCGACAGCGAATTCAAGTGTTGAGATTCGTCATCAGCATGACACTTCTATGTATTTGTTTGTCTCTATCGGGATCCTTATGAAGATGTATAATACCAATAGAAATAATTCCAGTTGTTCTTTTATGGGTAAACGCAATGCGGCTTGGGGTTCAGGCAAAGAGGCAAAGATTTGGAACGATTGTTAAACTCGGCAGTTCTATGGCAAATATTTCAAGAATAAACAGACATATCCATATGTATATATACGGAGTAAACAGATATATATAAATATAAATATATCTATATAAATATATACAGATAATAAGAACAAGAATAGCATTGTCGTCTCCAAAGAACTCCGATAAGATACTCTTGGCCCGTGCGCCCTCAACCTTTGGACTCTCCAATCCCTCTCTCTCTGCGAAATATGTACAAAGTACCTTAAAAAGATGAATGGTCTTACTTCCATGCGTCTCTGTGCGAGAAACATCTCAAATACACGACCTCTCACCCGACTCTCTAGCCTGCACGCACCCGCATTTCCCCTCACGCGCCCATTCCCGAGAATGGCATCCAGCGCGTTTCAGTTCGCCGAGGGCGAGGATGCGCAGCAACTTGCCCGAGACGCCGACGCTTTATTGCAGCAGGGCTGGGCGCAGGATGGAGATGGGATGGGGATCACGAAAACGTTTCATTTTAAGAGCTATTTCAAGGCTGTGGTGAGTTATTTTTATTTTTTTTCCCCCCTCTAACTGGGGCTGCTTCTACAGAGTGCTTCTGCAGGATAAATTGATAAACTGACAGCCTATAGGCGTTTGTTAATATGATTGCAGCCGAGAGTGCATCCAAGAAACATCATCCCACTATGACAGTGGTAAGTGGAACGTTTTAAAATCGTCGGTGCCTAGGTAAAAAAAGAAATGAAGGCTGACGCCCCCATTAGCGGATCGGCTCGGTCGATGTGCACTGGACAACCCATCGCCCACGCGGATTCACCCAAAAGGATGTTACAATGGCACAACATTGTGATCACGGCGCTGATCTGATGGGTGCTGTTGATCCTGGTCAGGGATTGAAATGTGGTCCGACTATCTAGGTGATCACCTCGAATTTGCACTCTTCTTTATTTTTCCCCCCCCCCGGGTCTGGCCGCACACTATCACCAGTAGATCCCCCCACTGGCGATTGGAACTAGTCTGAATACGAATTTCCCCTTGGAATCCTGCTGGAGTGTCTTTTTTTTTCTATCTTTTTCTTTTTTTGAATGTTTTCTTCTCTCCCGAAAGGGTCGTTCCTCGATTTCGGTCTCAATTTCGATTTATCTTAATTACATATTTATAGATATACTCCCAACGGCTATTTGGTGTCAGACGTGCCATGACGTCGAAACACTCCATGCCCACGTTCCCTTCCGATGATCATTGCCTATATTAAATCTTGTCGCTCCTTTTTTCTCCAATGCGCTCAACGTCCTGAAATCTTGGAATCTTGAAATCTTGAACTGTCTGGAGCTGTGTGGAACTGTGTGGAACTTCCCTGAGCACGCCCATCAACAATGAATGCAGATCAGCCATCAATTGGCGAACGCAGAGGTCGTCGACTTGCGCCCCTACAGACCAATTTCAGTCGACCAGCTGTTCAAAAACGGGTACAACGGCCTCGGCCAACCGAATATCCCAGTACCAATGGATCAGAAGGTCCCATTCCGCTCCAGGGCCCGGTCAAAAGGCAATCCTCCAAGACCAGTCTGCGCAATCTCTTTGGTCACAAGTCTTCGCGCGCAGACCCCAAATTAGAGGAGATTATAGAGGCACAGCCAGAACCTCAAACTGCCATTCTCTTGGACACCACCCTGTCGCCCTCTATCATGAGCCCTCAAACTATAGACTCCAATCCCACCATTACCTCCCCTACAATTACCTCCCCGTCAGAACGATCGCGCACACCATCCAAGTCCTCCCGTTCGAAACCCGACCCCAAACATGCGAACCAGGAACAGTATGGCTGGAAGCCTCCTCCATTGTTCCAGGCCTATCCCCAATCTACCAAGCATGCCTGCCTCCCGGCACCTGCTCTCACTGCAGATTCCATCTTGCGCCTGCACGCCACCACCGCAAGGAGCTCTACCGACGATAACCCTGCCAATCCCTTGGAGCAGGACGAGGCCGCCGATGCCGCTCGTAAAAAGCGAGAACAAAAGCAAAAGAAGCATCTCCGGACGGTATCAGGTACCATCAACAAAGTGGATTGGACTCAGAAAATATATGTCCTAGCAACCACTGGTTACATTCTCCAATATGCAGGCGAAGGGAAGCACGACCGTCTCCCGGAGAGAATGCTGCTGCTAGGGCCCAAATCTGTCGCATTTGCTAGTGATGCTATCCCCGGGAAACATTGGGTACTTCAGGTCTCTCACAACCCCACAGCTGATGATTCCGCCGTGCCGGAGCCCCCCAAGCCTCGATTCTCGCGCTTTGGTTTTCACAAACCTAATGCCCGACGGTTCTCGCGCAACTTTCTTCTGGTGTTCGAAAACCCAGATGATATGATCGGCTGGTTGGTGGCCGTTAGAGCTGAGATCGAAAAACGAGGAGGACGCAAATTTACGCAAGAGAAACACTCAGATGAAGACACAATGCCTCAGCTAAAATCCAAATCAAGCGTTCGACAAATGGTAAAGAAAGATCCCCATCGCATTTCCAGTCTTTTCCTTCAACCCCAGACCCTCCAATCGCCCACTGAGGAAGATGATGGTCAATCTGTCGGTGCTGCAACATGGCAATCTCGCCGCAGTTCATATGTGTCGGTCAATCGTCACTCAATCATTGAATCTCGATCCGGATCGGTATCGACTGGCCGGACCGAGGCCACAAATCCTACCAACGGCTCTGCTTCTATCGGATCTGACATTCGTTCGTCGTCATTCACTTCTTCCAATGTACCCAACTCGCCACCAATAGGCACCGGCGCTTTCAGGCCTGATGAGCCTCTGCCGGAAGAGCTTGACCGCATCTACACACGCAGCCCTCCCGTTTCTAATCATGGAAAACGACAATCCTTATATACGCCCCTACCACCTCAGCCTCCCCCCATTACCGACTTCACAGAGGAGCCACAAGGGGATCACCGACCGCCTGTTCCCGAAGCTCTCATTCGCTGTGCTTCACCTCCAGCCCCCAATTTCAGTGTCCCCTCGTTTAGCAAGAAATTCGTTCCGAGATCCGGGCCGACCCCCATCCCTTATGCCTCTCCTCCTTCATCAATTAACGGCTTTGTACGCTACGCCGAGACCGACCCAAATATGTCCGCCTTTGCATCTCCTCCCCAATCTCCGACATTCAGCGTCGCTAGTTCGCGCCACACAGACTCATCGGAGGCCAGGCGCATACTACGACCGTCAAATTCAGAGGATGCCCTGACCAAAACCGTCCGTTTAACACAGAATACCCAAAATTTCTCCCGGGTGCCCATAACAGCGCCTCCTACAGGTCCTCTACCTGATCCCAGAGCATCTTCCCGTCCGCTCAGTCTAATGGGCCGCCCTAACATGAGTCGGAAACCCATCAATGCAACCGAGGTCCAACCTGCTCCTCCGCCGAAAGACCCAATACCGCGCAAGAGAGTCTCCACTGTGTACCCAGACAACCAAGCTACTCAGAGCATGTTGCGCCGCAAGAGCATGCCCGGTTTAGGTTTAACAATCGGGCCTCCATCTGCACCACCCCCCAACTGCCCACTCCCTAAGCTCCCCTCGCCCGCCCCTCCTATCGCAAACACCACTACGCCCGCTACTTCCACCTGCACGACCGCGCCACAGATGCTATCCCCCTGGTCTCCGACGTCTCCAACGCAACGGTTCTACGGATCCGAGCCAGTGCGGGATCACGTCGAAGATCGCAAGAGCGGTGCCCATGCCGCAAGCAATGACCCAGCAAGTGATGACCCAGCAAGTGATGCCCCAGCAAGTGATGCCCCAGCAAGTGATGCCCCACGAACTGCTCGACATTCGAAGCTGATCAAGAGTTCCCTGGTCTAAATCACCCTCCTCTGCTGTGACTCAACATCACATCTATGACATTTCACATTCCCCTAACTCCAATACTCCAATACCCCCTCGTATCCTCAACGTTGACCTTTACTACGATATTTTTCTCACGACAACACCTTGAGATGCATTCCCTATACCCTCTTTCCTTTCTCGCATCTGTCATTGATATATCTGTCATTTGGGCCTCGGCCTTCCTCGGCATCAAATACCCTTTCTGCATTTATTGCATATCTGAGAGCCTATCATATCCATTCTCTTATTAGGCACATCGGTGATACCAATGCTTGCGTGCATACGTCAGTTCCTTTTTTGTCTATAATACATATGTATGCATTACTTCTCTTCATTTCGATTGTGTTTCTATTGGAATTTGTTCTTGAATATACCCCGTTTTATGCTATTTCCTTCATTTCTGCATTGGAAACAATCTGTCCGTTTCTCGTGTGAACTCGGTATTTCCTGTCTTCTGTTTTCTATTGGAGATCTATCAGCCACGGAGAGTGGGTTTATATTGAGCATAGAGCATAGAACCGAGGCTGTACATTACCAGATTTTCTTGTCTACTGTCTACAGTATTTGAATACAACAGAAGTCTACATCAGTTTAATGCTACATGCAACTCGAAGAGAAGTTGTGCAATGAAGTAAAGACAAAAACCGAGGGAAATAAGGGCATTTCCAATGATATCAATTCTCAGGAGCAAGGCCCAAAACGCCAGAATGAACATGGAATAAGGATCTTGAAAATACAAAGCTCGGATGGTTTGAAATAAGCACCCACATAAGACAACATAAGACCAATTCTGATCTATCGGCTTTGAATGTCGTTCAGAACGTAGCAGCACTACTCCTCTACCTCTTCCACACTTGCAGTCAGACCTCGTCGCGCTGCGACTGCAGACGGGGTAGAAGTGGGCTCGGCGGAGGTTGTGGTTGCCGAGGGGGCGTTTGCTGGGGGAGCAGCCGAGGGAGCAGCTGCGGTAACTGGGGCGGGAGCAGAGGTTGAGGCCTTGGATTTGCTAGACTTTTTGCTCTTTTTTGTCTGTAGGGTTGAATGGTCAGTTTTACTATTTCCAAGAACATGAGAAGAAGAAAATGGATGCATACCTCTTGCCAGCCCCACAGAGGCTTGAAGCTGTCAAAGAACCCAACATCCTCGAACAGATTGGGGAATAGCCAGAGACCCGGGGCGACGGTGAAGACAGTAATGCAGAATAGTATCAAACGGAAGATAGCCATGGCGAAGAAGAGACCCAACAGCCCCATCATGCCAACGCTCAGATACCACACTCCCTGGCGCATAATCATAGGCCACAACGGGAACAGGACAACAGCGAAAATACCCGCGACCACGGCGGCAGCCATGGCCTTTTGCTTCCACTGTGGGCCGTCATACAACCAAACATAATGCATCATGGGGTCGGTCTCCTGGTGCTGTTCGATCTTCACGGTCCATAGGCCCTTGGTGCGGTTCTTGGGTTTGGCATGGTTGTGTCCTTCATGGGGATCAACCTTGCTCACTCGGAGAGCCAAAAGGGAAAGTGGAAGAAGCTTGAAAACGTTCTCGGCGGAGGCGCGATCGGTCACTGGGGGGAGGAGGGAGTTCTTCTTTGATGCGGCTTTGGCATAGGCGGGGGATTCAATGGCTCGAATTGCGCGCTTCACTGCATTGAAGAAAATCATGTTAGATAGTGATTCCTTGTAATATATTTGGATCTTGGTCGCTGCTCACCCTTGAACATGTCCTTGCGCTGTCCATCCATGATACATGTGCGAGGCTTGAGGTTTTGCGACCGCAACCAGTTGGCCACTGCGACTGCCTTTGGGTCCGGGGGGTTATTGGGGTTCACAGGAACCTGTTGTGTGGTTGTGTGTTGGTGCTGCTGGGGTGCGGGCGACGGAGCTTGTTGTCCTTCTGGTGCTGCTTGACCCTGTTGTTCAGCCTGGATCTTCTGTTGCTGCTGGTGGGCTTGCATTGCTCGCATGCGCAACTGCGCAACATATTGTTCAGTGGTCAGACCGAGCTTTGCAGCATCGGCAGTCAGCTGTTCACGCTGCTTTGCGGCGAATTGCTGGGGCGTCATCCCTCTTTTGGCGGCTTCGGCGGCGAACTGTTGTTGCATAGCCGCCATCTGCTCAGGGCTGGGCTGGCCGGGGGTGGCCATTTTGAATTAAAATTGGGAATAAAAAGCAGAAGAGAAAAAGGAAGTCCAAGGCAGAGGAAGTTGTGAAAGAAAAGAAAGAGAAGTGGCCAGATTGACTCAGCTGATTTGTCCGCCCTCCCGACTTCCCCGGCCAAGCTTAATCTTCTTCCCTTTCTACATTCAACGTCAGAAGAGTCGCGCTGAATATCACTGAACATGAGCTTCAGAGCTATTCTCATGTCGATGCTCAATGTCTGTCCAATATGACTCCACGGAAACTCTGTTAAACGCTACCTGGGTGGCTGTTCAACTGGTATGTGTCTCAGTTCGCAATTAATGTCCCCACACTCATATAAATTTAATCCAGAGCGAACGAGATGTGGCTGGTCAAATTCCACTTAATTATGTGACAAACCCTGCTGTGTCACTGTCAGCTGCCTGCTTCGGAAACCACATCTATGATCGAGACGACGCTGCAAAATGTTTCTCCAACCTCCTTGCAATCGGGTACCGACGTTTTGTTGTCGATCTATACTGGTCGGTCAACCGTAGGACTTGGTCTTTCTGTCCAGTGTCTGTTCCAGTCGAATCTGGAGTGGCTGTATCCTCGGGGACATCCACGACCACAGCAACAGCTAGTGCGGACTCTGCGACTGTCACCAGTAGCGCCGATTCACATGGACGCACTCTTTATGAACTAGGCTCATACAAATGCACCGACAACCTTGATCCCTATATCTTGGCAGAAGTGCTTGTGGGTTATTTTCGAGAGACAAATTCACGTTTGACCGTGTACACAACCTATCTCGTTCTCAATCTCCATGTGGCCGCAAGTGACTCCACGCCAGATGAGCCTGCTTCTGCCATATCAGGAGGTCAATTGCCATCGGGAACTGAGCTAGCCGGTTCGATCCTCGGGGTGGCCCTTGAGAACTTTATCTATAGCCCGGCTCAGCTTGCCTCGGACCGAAGCAATTTAAACCAGTCGTGGTATAACGTCGAGGAGGGCTATATGCCCATCACAGAGTACTTCACCGTTCATGAAAATAAAGCGGGTGAACAGAGCACTCCAGATGGTTGGCCATCATCAAAGTACATTCAGCTCGCGAAACGTGATCGAGTGCTCATTGAATACGGCTCTATTGATTCCCAACTGGTGGATTACAACCTGTCTACCGAACAAAATTTGGTCTTTCCTCCCGGGTACCTGACTTCCAATTCGAAGACCTCCGCAGCCACCAACGGCAGTCTTACTTCAGGCTGTCTGTATGAGCCTGGGCTCACACGTGTCTCTCAAACCAATTCATCATGGGCTATATACAGCCCCCTCCCTGTTTCTGATGGTCTTTCCACAGATGAGACGATGGGTTCACTATCAAATGTTCTCTCCGATATTACAGCTTGTGGTCTATCGCCAATGCTCAACACTACCCTCTTCGGCCAGACTGCAGATCAGCAAGTTGAATATTACCGTAACGTCTCTCTCTCTTCTTCCTGGGCTTGGGCTATCGGTCAGCCACACGATGCAAATTATGGCGGCGGCGACGGTGATCCCAAGTATGACCGCTGTGCGATAATGGATCTAACGCTGGACGGCCACTGGCGATCCACGAACTGCACTGAGCAACGGTATGGCGCCTGTCGAATCGGTAATTCGCCTTTCTCCTGGGTCCTGTCAGACACGACCGAATATTTCTCCAACGTGTCGAACACCTGTCCGCCAGGATCGAGCTTTGCCGTACCGCGCACCGGTCTCGAAAATACGTATCTCTACCAGCACATTCTCTCCCTGCCAAAGACAAAAGTCGACTTGAGTTCCACAGATCCCACCCTTCGAGAGGTTTTTGTCGACTTCAACTCAATAGATGTCACTTCATGCTGGGTAGCCGGTGGCTATGGGGCGAGGTGTCCCTATGCCTCTGACCCGCAGCAACTCGAGCGCAGAACTGTACTTGTAGCCGCAATTGCGGGTATCATTGTTCTTATCATCACAGCCTTGACATTCTTTGTCAAGTGCAACGCCAACCGCCGAAATTCCCGGCGCAGAAAGCGTGTCATCGAAGGATGGGAATATGAAGGTGTTCCTTCATGAGACACTCTATGCACTTTAGATTTATATCGGTGATGGCTCGCTCAGCACACCCTGAAGGTGCTGTCTCGGCCTTTTGGGTGTGATATCAAGATTGGATATCTTATGTACTATGTATATTGCCTTGTGTTTCACCTCGCATCTATAATTCCGAAGCTCCTGCCCTCTCCGCGATCGGACTTGTCTGAGCGCACTCCCCGCAACACCCTTGAGCTCAAGTCCAGTGGCAGGCTATCGGGCTCTACTCTGCGGCTGGTGAAGGATTTCTTCCAAAGTACTCATTTTCGTTGATTATACTGGCCATGGAAACATGAACACAATCGCCGACTTCCTGAAATAGGATGTTCTTCGGCGACAATTGTCAGTAACAAAGAATTTGGATGAATTGATAGGTTTCTGTTTTTGATCTCTGCCACTTAGGCACAGCACAGCCTGTTACTAGGCGCCACGCACCATTCAAATACTCGCTGCGTGTGCAACACTTGAGAACGCTGGTTCTTGGGCAATTTCCATCTCGTTCGTTTGTCGATTTCCCCGAATTTCGCTCTTGGTGGTCATGGAATGTCATCGAACTCCGTTTATGCTATATCCAAAGAACTACCAGAAAGATTGGGGTTTTGTATTCTATTGGGCTCTTTTTTTACTCGTCCCTCTTTGTCGTATCTGATCCAAGAAGGATTCTCCGAGCTATTGCTTCAAAATCATACCCTAGAGACGCAGTCAAATAATCCAAAAAATGGATACCTTGTTATCTTTCCATTAGAGACCAATCCCACCCTTCGAGCTATGCTTGATGTGACCAAGTAGTCAGTCATTCCGTAGATGGTGTCGACTTCATCTGAGACCATAGACATTTCTCTACGGATTTTTGATGACAATCACAACCTTGGAGCCCCAGCTAGCGGCTCTAGTGTCAATGCTGCTAGCATCGACGACACAACTAATAACGATCAATGGGCTGATCTACACCCTAGCCGCAGAGGCCGTGTTTAAACCACCGAAGACCACCTGGTTCACTGCTATTGTTTACTTCAAAAGTTCTCAGAACAGTCTACGGCAAGGTGTATCGCTATCATGCTCGGTTCAAATGTTCATTGAGGGCCAGAACTACATACAACAAAGACGAATCCATAATACACCAAAACAATTCCAATCAATACATATTTCCACGAAAATCAAACCAATGGAAACAGGATATAAGAGTCCCAAACAAAAACAAGCCGTTACATGCCATTCATGAAGACAAACCGTAAACTCCTAGAGGAAAAAAGACGATGGATATCACATTCAAAGCCCGGCGAACCGAGCCCATCCTGCAGCCCGAGTTGATGAAGAGCTCGGAGTCTGTTTGTGGCTTTCGTTCTGGTTGTGGGCAGGTTCCTCATCGAGAACGTTTTCACTGCGCCCTTCTTCGGCGACCTTTCCACTCACATCGCGGCGGCGTCCGACGCCCAGGCCGGCGATATAACTTCCATAGGAGGATAAAGATGCACCAACTCCGGCTGCAATACCAGGCCGAGCGGTGTCTGTACCGGTGTTGCTCACAACACGACCCTTGCGGTCGCTTTCGGTAGCGCGAGGCGACGCAGGCAGCCGGGTTGAGAGGTACCCGTTTTCTTCGTCATTGTCGTTCTTCTTGAGAGCCTCATAAGCAGACATCTTGCTGCTGCGTTTTTTCGTAAGCTTAGTGGGTTTACGGACAATCTGTTCGCTTGGCTCGCGAGACCTAGCCAATCCAGGCTTCCCATCCACATCCAGGTCGCCATAGAATCGGGTCTTGGGAGAAGTGGGCTTGGGGCTTTCGTGTGGAACAGACACCGGCTGTGCCTGTGCATTGTATGATAGATTGGGGCTATCGCCCAGGACAATGCGGCGCACGGGATCGGTATTCTCGGGCTTTTCGGTCAGAATAGGTTGCGGGGTTGGTGGGTTAAGCATGAGCGGGTTAAATGGGATGTAGCCATCACGTTCGTCATCAAAGTCGTCTCTGTGATCTTCTGGGTCTGGGAATATGTCCATACGCTGATCACCCACATCTTGCTCACGGCGGCCATCATCAAGGCCATAGAATTCATGCATGGCGAGCGACGCATATTCACCCCGTACATCTTCTGGGATAGCACTTCCAATACTTGGCTCCGGCTTGGAGCCATAAGCAAACCAGTCTCGAATGCCACTACCGGCAGACGGGGTGGTCTTGCTAGTTTTTCGGCTGTAAACAGAGGAAGACTGGCGGAGAGCAGCTGCGGCCTCGTCCTGCGTCTCGCCCATTGGCGATGGAGACCGTTCAGAGTATGCCACCCAATTATCAGACAATGGGCTGACTGTTTCCGATCGATCAGCAGTACGTGATGACAGCTGACGCATTTGAGCAGTAGCATTGATGATTTCGGGAGCGTGGGAGGCGACTTTTCGATATTCTGGGGCAGATGTCTGTGATGTGAAGTCATAGGGCTGGCTCGGGGTTTGTTGGAATAGTGTCTCTGGGCTGGAGGGATCCATGTAAGGCTCCGTTGGGGATTCCAAGTGAGATAGGCGGTGCTGATAAAAGGAGGAATGTGACTGCCGCTGCTCGTCAAGCATGCCCATTGATCCACGGCTGGAATCACCACCGGAAGACTGCTCTCGTGTGTGCATGAATGGCACACTGCGAGGGGGTCCCATGAGCGGATCCTCGAGTGTGGAATCGAGGGTGGATTGGCTGAGATGTTTCTCCTCCATTTGAGTCTCCTGGTGGCTCTTACGGGGACGTGTGGTCAAATTGTCTTCAAGTGGGTTCATGTCAGGCGGCAGGCGGGAGATCTTCCGGAATGTGACAGCCAAGAAAACCGAGATGGTAAGGGAGATGAGGTGCAACGCGCCATTCGCGATAGCCAAGATGAAGGTGGCCTCGGACAGTTTGACGGTCAGGTCGCTGTTATTGAAGAGAGTACTCCAATGGTATGCATTGGAGTTCCATTCACCATGCGCCATAAACGCAGTAAACACGTAGAATGGGATGAGTCCGAAGTCGAGAAGCGCAGCGAATAGCCCATAGCTGGATTGAGAACCTGCGGGGCGGTTAAGAGCGGATCGAGAATTATGGTAGATAGCATATATAGTGTGGAGAATTGCAACTATGGGCTACAATAGAGGTCAGCAAGAGAATGTTTTCTTCGATGAACTGTACTCACGCCGGCGCGAATGATCCAGATAACGGTCACTGCAGCTCCCTTAATAACGATAGAACAAAACAGGGAACCAAGGGCCCCCAAAAAAGCGAGCACTCGAAGTGCAAGCTGAGTTGAGCGTGCATACTTGACCCGATCCTTTGTTTTGTGGCTCATCGGTGTAAATGAGCTGGCTGTGTTGAAGGAACCCCACTACATCCACCATTAGCAGAATCCACCATTAATTTCCAGAAGATTGCATGCACATACCGTGTCAGGATGCCGGTTCAAATTCACTAGCGGTCCCTTTGGCTTGGGCTTGTCTGCCGGACGAGTCCAGCTCGCCTCTGTCGCGGCTCTGGGATTGAAGCCGCGGTCGGTCGGACCTTTAAAGCCGTAGGCGGACGGACTCTCATAAAGGAATGGAGGTGACGATCTCCCCATAGTAGCGACTAAAAGCCACTCGTGGCACCCACGCGAAGCAAAAGAGAGGAATGTTGACGAAGAACCTTGGGGATGTGGAATGCGACTGTCAGCTTCCTGGGATGTGCCCAGTTCTGAGTATGTTCTACATCTGCAAACATGCGATAGTCACCAGGGCAACCGATAGCGTCACGTGCCGTGTCTCATTATCTCCGATCACCTCCGCGGTTTCTCGAATCCATGCACCATGCGCTTAAAACAGACTGTTGTATGTGCTCAATGCACTGTACAGCTTAATCGCCGGCCTGTTCTACATTATCTGGGCTTCGTGTCTCAATTTACATCCAAACGCTCCAACAGTCATGTCGCCCAAATCGATCGACCCATCCGTGTGGCCATCGTGGGCTCCGGCCCAGCGGGGTTCTATGCTGCCTATCGTCTTTTGGCTAAACAGAAAGATGCGATAGTTGATATGTATGAGAAGCTACCTGTCCCATTTGGCTTGGCTAGGTACGGTGTTGCCCCGGACCATCCCGAAGTCAAGGTGAGTCACGGTAAACTGCGATTCAGTGATGAGTCGTCGAACATTGTATATAGAAATAAGCTCATGGTTATATGAACATTAGAATTGCGAAGATAAATTTACAGAGGTGGCCGAGTCCACGCGTTTCAATTTTGTCGGTAATATCGACCTCGGACATGATCTACCACTCGCTGCCCTCAAACCACACTACGATGCCATCATATTCGCCTACGGTGCCACAAAAGATAAGGAACTGGGGATTCCTGGAGAAGAAGCTCTGCATAGCGTACACTCAGCCCGTGCCTTTGTGGGGTGGTACAATGGTCTTCCAGAGCACAGAGATCTCGATCCGGACCTAAGCGGAGAGAACGCCGTTATTGTCGGACAAGGCAACGTTGCGCTGGACGTTGCCCGGATTCTTCTTTCGGATGTCGATACCCTCCAGAAGACAGACATAGCAGATTATGCTATAGAAAAACTCGCTACCAGTCGCATTAAGCGAGTGCGAGTTGTTGGGCGCCGCGGGCCCTTACAGGTGAGTTACTATGAATCCACGCTCGATACTTAGGTTGCTAATTATTGAACTTAGGCTTCCTTCACTATCAAAGAGCTCCGTGAAATGCTACAGCTTCCAGGTGTATCATTTGATCCTATTCCAGAAGATATCTTTCCGCCGGAAGAAGTAGTATCGGCACTACCCCGAGCGCAGAAGCGTCTAATGCAACTCTTGGCTAAAGGATCGGCCAATGACCCTCTGACAGCCCCAAAGTCTTGGTCTCTAGATTTCTTACTCGCGCCTGATTCTCTTTGCTGGTCGCCTGATTCCCCATACCATCTATCCCATGTAAAGTTCTCTCGCAACGAACTCGACCCATCCGACCCCCACAGTCCCAGCTCCAAGGTGTCTCCAAAGCACTTATCGAGTGGAAAGCGTGCACAGGTCAACCTACCAGCTAGCGTCTTCTTCCGCAGCGTGGGCTACAAATCCCTCCCTCTTCCAGGACTAGAAGATCTTGGTATTGACTTCGATACGCAACGCGGTATCATCCCTAATGACGGATTTGGCCGCGTGACAAGCTTGTCGAGCAAGGGCGAGCTTGAAAGTTTACCTGGTGGGTCTATTATCTCCTACCTACCCGGCCTGTACTGTGCTGGCTGGGTAAAACGAGGCCCAACGGGTGTAATTGCTTCGACAATGACCGATGCATTCACTACTGCAGACACTATTGTGCAAGATCTAGCAAAACGTGCCGATTCGATGTCCCTGCTTCATGCACCCGGTCACAGTAGCGGTCTAGGCTGGGACGGAGTGAAAATCGAGGCACAGCGCCGTGGTCTACGCCCCACGTCATGGAAAGATTGGCAGCGAATCGATGCAGCAGAGCGAGAAAGCGGCCAACAAAAGGGTAAGCCTCGGGATAAGATTGGGCGTGTAGAAGAAATGTTGAAGGTGCTTGATTGAACCTTTATGCATATTATGGACTATCTGTGTACATAGTTTGACGGATCTAATTACATACTCGGTCCAACACTCTCATCCCTGCCGCATTATCCAGCGCTTTCATATACCATTCTCTCCCTTCGTTATTACATTCGATAGATCTTGTCTAACCCTCATAGCCCGCATGCGCTGGCTTCCACTTCAACATAAGTGGCGTCAACACGACCGAGCTGCTCCGCCTGACCATTGGTCAACGTGTTCATGGCTTGCAGGCCAATATTGAAGCCACCCGGGGCGGTATCAACAGCAATGACGTTTATTGTCTTGTCAATCTTGCCATTCGAGTAGTGCAACGCGTAGCATTTGCCGCAGTTAGGGCTGTTCCAGCCCGCGATGGTGATCGCACCGCCAATGTTCGGGAAGATTGGCAGCGATGCGAAGTCGGTATAGCCTTGAGTGACCAGGCCGTTGACGCCGTCGGAGCAGGCGACGGTGTTCAGGGAGGATGTTCCAACATCATATTTGGGGTCGAAGGAGACGGATACTGTTTCCGCTGCCGCCGGGGCCGGAGCGGCAGCAACAAGGCTGAGGGTTGCCAGGAAGGCAGAGGTGAAAGCGATAGTAGACTTCATGTTTGTGGGGACTTTGATGATACTTCGAGGAGGAGTAGAATAGTTTGGTTGCTTGTTGTATATCCTTTGCTCCCTTCCTTCATCGACGAGGTTTATATATCTCCATCCCTCAGGCCTCCCACCTAAGATTGTTCTATTTCCTCTTTTCTGGCAGGCTGCATTCGGCGCAGGTCTTAGATGAAGGTTTTAGACTCACAGGTGATACAGCCCAAATAGGATGCCTTCATCTTGGGTCCATGATCAGCCGATACCCCCGTAATGAATAACCCCTAGAAACCGGAGCAATAAGGCCGAAGACAATTGTGGGGTTCACGAGGAAGCATGTAAGTAGACTGAGACATTGCATATCTTGGCTGCTATTTTTATGCGATCCGCAAAAGCACTGCATAGTCGATCCACATACAGCTCACACAAGACTACGGTATAGGGCGACTGCATTCGAGGTTACATCACTCAAGACGGACAGAATGCCACAGCCACATTTTATTACCATCTAAGTTTGAATCAAAATTTGATATTGGATCTATAAGCTGACCTCATTACCCGAGAGAAAAAAAAGAAGAAAAGCAATTGATACAGGTGTAAAAGATACTGAGATACGGTTGAAAAATAAAGAAAGAAAAAGAAAAAAAAGAAACGTCCCCGGGAAGGCTTGAACTTCCAACCTCCCGATTAACAGTCGGACGCGCTAACCAATTGCGCCACGGAGACGTGCTTATTGAAAAGACCTCCAGATTTATGCTTGTTAATCCAAAAGACCCTAGAGAATATCAATTAGTCTCCACTTGGGAGACCATATAGAAAATGTGAGACTAAGTTTGAAGCAGGCTTTAACATCACTTAAAGACATGCTTCGTACATATATCCTTTTTCTGCAAATTCCGCCACAGCACGTCTCCGTGGCGCAATTGGTTAGCGCGTCCGACTGTTAATCGGGAGGTTGGAAGTTCAAGCCTTCCCGGGGACGTTTCTTTTTTTTCCTTGGCTAGTCATTATTCCTGTTTACTGGCTTTAGTTACTTGGTTACTTAGATCATTTTTACCTCTCATTTTTTTTGGGGTTTCTGATCCCTGTCAGTTTGACTTCATGCAGGGGTCCCTGTTCAATAGATTTCATGTTTTTGATTAAACCTGAATTCCAATATTGGTTATATCGTGTTGACTAGGCCCCGAGCGTCTCTGGGGCTATTGCTTCTGAATTCTCATTTTTTTTAATCTTTGACGGCGTATGCAAAAATTATGCGCGGCCAAGAAAAAAATATTAAACGTCTCAACTATCACTACCACTACCTGCAGATCGTATGTTCACTTTTCGTGATGATGCGCCGAGTAAGACATACTTCGGTATCGCCGATGGATGTGATGGTTTACATCCCTTGACACCGAGCGCAACCACTGACCACAACTGCCATAATACTAACTTCCTGGCAGTAGACTGTTATCACGGCTAGCGGCGTTTCCAATTTCCAAGTCCCGTGGTAAGAAGGGATTCCGTAGCAAAAGATCTCGCTTAGGCTCCGAGTTCCAAGGTAAGGAGAACAACCTGGATGTCAAGGTGACTAGTCTAATCAATGCCTCAACTAATAACATTGTGCATATCAAGAAGCCACGGTTGGAATTTCAATGTTCGGATGAGCCTGACTCTGCGTATGAGTCCAATGAGCACGCAGAACCTTGAGCATCCACAATACGGAGATGGTTTATTCATTGTAGGTGAGTGATACTTATTAATTCCTTTCTGTCGGGCTTTTATCGTGTCACGATTTATTCTTATTTTCTATACACTATATATCCTTACTGTCTCTAGTTCTTCCGTGGGTGTAAGTAATGCTTGCTTGCACCACTCGAATCATTTCTCTGATCATCCATACCCTGTATTGTATTGAGGTGGAGTTTGATATCTGAATAATGTAGACAGCTACCACTCCTTGGCCATAATATGTTGTACAACATACATGTCAGCTCCAATATTTGAAATTTGTAGGACCAGTCTGAGCCAGCAGCAGTCTTCCAGCGCTGTTAGTTCTGCCCAAGTCCCTAGTCCTTCATCTCGGCAAGCGGCCAAGATCCACGGTGTGAAGATCACTTCTACATACACAGGTTGGGTAACAGAATTCAATACATAGATGATATCCCGTACATTTAAAAAAAATGTGTGTAAGGAAAAAAAAGAAGGGCCCGAACCGCGATTTGAACGCGGGACCTCGCACAGGTTCACCCGAAGCACGAATCATACCTAATTTTGAATTAGTTGAGATTCGCAGGACAGCATATTGAAGTGGAACGTACCACTAGACCATCCGGGCGGTTGTGTGTTAGAGTTTTCATTTGTACAGAATATAATGTAAACAAATCACAGCTATATCAAGTGCTGATCTATACATCGTAGGCTTCTTCCAAGGTTCGCCTATTTCCAATCTAAGTATACTATACTCAAAGATACTCAAAGGTCGCTATTAATTACATGACAGTAACTTGGAGGATAAATCAAGGGTAACTCATAATATACAATGTGATACTTGTATATTGGAGATGTGATCATTGTGGGTCGGGAATATGTATATACTCGACTGTCCATGCATGTACAGGTAGACTACTGATTACAAAAATGTCCAAGGGTATTCCTAGACCCATCTGACGTGATCCGAGGGGCTAGTTTCACCAATTAAGAGGGAGTATCGCGAGGACCCCATGAGCATTGAAGCTCTTGGCTTCAATGCGGGGGACCTTCAATTCCCCTTACGTTCACCGAGACATTACAGCCTTAGATTCAAAAAAAGCAGAATCAAGAATGACAGATTCCAAGTCAGTGGCTATTATTGGAGGTAAGAGAAATATCCCATTGTACGCTCTCTAGAGACTGCTAACAACCCGGATTAAAGCGGGTATATTTGGTCTTTCACTGGCGATTGCCCTACGAGATAGAAGTAAACAAGGTATCTCCCTGAAAATAGGTTACAAATAGCTTATAATTCACAGAATATGAAGTGTCATGTGACCTTCCAACACATATGTATACTTCGAGGCTTCCTTATCCGGCACCAAAAGCAGCTAATATGACATGGTATGACGGACTGTAAGTTTAAACTATGAGTCAAGGAAATTTTGTAGACTATCTTTCAAGCTTTGAATTATATCTCCACCATTTTGAAACACAGCTACCAGGTACAAGCCACGAAGCCAAACAAAATGTCGCAGAACAAAAGATCGCCGATAATTCCCCAAGGCCTCCGAGCATGGTATGACCGTTTACTCCACATGGTCCGTCATTCCAAGTCCGACATACCTGCGCCTATCATTACGCACATCAAGCAGCCACTGATGCCTGGTCTCCCACATCTAAACCCCTCCAGTATGACCTTACCTCAAACAGAGAAGGCTTTCAATCTAAAGGAGGCCGAAGGCTATCAGAGTTGGCAAATTCCTTCTATACATCTTGTCCTTTCACCTGAATTTGGTAATTACTATCACTCCCCTAGGCGTTATAGGAGTGTTCTAATTATGATTAGATCTGTGGCTGCATAAATATGACGAGTTGACCGAGCTTCCTGCCTATACTGAGGCCAGGTCACGATGCAGAGTAGATTCTTTGATAGTGGCAGTATATCGCAGCCTATCAGACCAAGGACTGCTCCAAAACCCTGCCGGCACTAGAGTGACTCTGGCCCTAGAGCGTCCCTTGGAGTGGGGGCCTGTCCTCCACCAAAACGTCCCACATAAATGCAGTGGAACTGCAGATTATAGCCTTCTTTTTGGTGACAAGGACCATATGGCCTGCCATATGGTAATTATCGAAGCCAAGAGACGGGGACATTTCCCAGATCAGGGTCAGATCATCGCCTATATGGCGATGGTCCAAGCCAGCAGAAGGTCCAGGGGGCAGACCGATTGGACGGTCTGGGGGGTGATGACGGACGGCTGGTCCTTTCAGTTCTACCAGCTAAACATGGAGGGAGCTTGGTCATTCCTGGGATTGCAGGCTAAGAGAGACAGCTGGCAAGCTATTGCCACCATGCTTGGGTCTATAGTCCTGCATGCACAACAGGCATGCAACTCCCCTCTCCGACCTAGTCTGTCCTCCAACCAAGCGCCTGGATCCAAACGGTACTCAGTCGCTTCTGTGGCGCCTAGAATTAGTTCCCTTCAGTTGGCACCAATGGGGGAGTTCATGAGCGGGATTCAGGATGCTCTAGACGCTGACACTTAAATCCTTGTGCAGAGTTGGACATTTGATTATTCTTAGCTAGGTCCACTTTCGATTCTAACGTTATCCTTAATTGAACTCAGTCTTCACTACTGATTGTAGGTGCAGGATGCAGGATGAAGATAAGGGACTGAGTTTCCCACATATTTCCAGAATGAGTAGATTTTCTGTTGGCTTTCAAGTTTGGATCATTCTTTAATGTCGAGTACCAAGCATGATGCATGGTAGAAATTACCGTGTCATTACAAACCGGAAAATCAATGGACCGTCAATGGTAACGGTACCATACAAAATAGCATACATTGCTTAATCATCGATGTCCGTACTAGACCTGGCAGTGACCCTCCGGGCGGTCCATGATCTTGGACCCTCCACTCACCGGAACGATTTCCCGTCATGACCTGGAAGAGTACACCACGAGACACTTCTGGAAAAGACACAGGGAGTCCGCAGTCCCTTCAAATCAAAGATATCTTTCACTCCCAAACGTAACTGCATGTTGTTAGCAAAAATTCAAATTACAGCGGACTGCGTTATAGGACGTACTCCTGCAAGTGGTTTCGATGATGTTGGTGTATAGTATAGCCTAGATGGCACAGCAACGCTTTTCGTCATTGCACCCTGGAATTGATCAGCAAACCTTCCTGAAGGCAGGTGACAATTTTACTCACCGATGAGGTTGCTGGCAAGGGTTTAAATCCTCCGACCCCATCGCTAAGGGCAGCTTCAGTGAATGCTAGCTGATGATCGGAATAGAGACGGAAGGCCTGATAGATCTCTCCAGTTCGCGGTGAGTAAAAGTAGGGCCCGTTTGGTATGTCATGACGCAGTTTGGCATATTTGATATGCACCCCAGATGTATAGCTGGAAGAGGCCATCGCAAGTTTATTTCCAAGTCCCCGTAGAGCCTTTTGAACACCAGACTCTATTTGGCCTCGATAGTCTCCATCGTAGACAAGGAAAACCGCTATCTTGAAGTCAACAGAAGTTCTTTGGTGGAAATATTGACTTGATTAGCACCCACCTTCAAGAAATCCAGTCTGAAAAACATCATCGGTGGCCGAATAGTTCGCAATGGTTTCTTTTATAATGTTCGTGTTGAGCACAGCTTTATCTGTCCGAATGACCGTCAGGGGAACGATTGCATCGAATCGAGTCGAATCAAAACCCGAGATAACTATGCTCGAGACCACATCACCACTATAGTAGTTTATGTCATTGACTGTAAACAGTTTACCATTATCAACACTCGAAGTGGCAGAGATGGTCGAGGCAGCCAAGAAGAGAAGAAGAGAAGTAGAGACCCGCCAAAGGCAGTAACCAAGACCATAACCATTAAGAACCATGATGTGCCTTTGTTGCAGCCATGTTTGAAAGTAGATATGAGCTTTAAATATGTCTGCCCAACTCAAAATCAGATGCTTTCATGTACATCCGGCTGGGGACCTTCCGAGGGCGCTGGAATCATAGGTTCTATTAGTCCTGTTAACTTCAGAATGAGGAGATAACAGACATAGCTTGCAGCTATTAGCCCCTCTTCTGTTAATATTTGAAGATAGATAAGACATCTTCTCCAACCTTTCTTGGCAATGGTTTCCAGGATTCCTCGGTGGATCTCAGAGGGGGTTTGGAGGTTGGAGAACCTTGAGAGATCTTGGCGTTTATTGAATGCCTGCCTTGACTGCACGTAAACCTAGGGTCTAATAGCCATCTGCATTGATTGAATATATAAGTAGAGTTATGCTCAGCTTGAGTTCAATACGACATTGCTGACAATTGTTGGCGTGATGAGGAGTGTAGCTCTGATTGGCCCGCTTCACACAAGCCCTAAGTATAAAAGGAGGGGGCGGATTACTTAGTTTTCTTTCTTTCCTCTCTTCCTTCTTGAACCAAAAAAGGTCCAACCAAAAAAACATTCATGATAATGACCCCCACTGCAAACACAATATACGTTGTGACAGGTGCAAACAGAGGCCTCGGTCTTGGACTGACTAAACGGCTACTAGAACGCCCTGCCACTACCGTTGTGGCCTCAGTGCGCAGCCACAACGCCGCCACAAGCCTTAGGTCAGACGTTGAAGATGTTGCAGTGGGAGAGAATAGTATCCTTTACATCATCGAACTGGACTTTTCAACTGCGATACCCCCCGAAAAGATTGCACAGAACTTCGCCGCAGCAGTTAGTACAGTGACGCATGTCGATGTGCTCATCTGCAATGCCGGATTCGCGGCACCCATGACTCCAGCCCTAGTGACTTCGGCGGAAGACCTCCGTGAATCTTTTGAAGTCAACACCATCGCCCCACTCCTTGTGTTCCAGGCCCTCTGGCCACTTATGCAGAGATCAGGTTCTGTGCCCAAGCTCGCCGTTATATCTTCCTCCGTCGGTTCGATTGCTGATCAGGAGCCTGTTCCCGGTGGGGCATATGGTCCTAGTAAAGCAGCTTCAAACTGGCTTACCAAGGCTCTTCATGCTGAAAATGCGGCAGATGGATTGGTTGCGTTTGCTCTGCATCCTGGCTGGGTGCAGACACGCGCGGGGGATTTCGTTGCGAAGGAGTGGGGATATCCTGGTAGCCCACCGGTGACTGTTGAGGATAGTGTTAAGGGAATGCTTGGTGTTATTGACAATGCTACAAGGGAAAATGTGTCGGGAAAATTCATATCGTTAACGGGAGAGATTTTGTCGTGGTAGAGAGGGTATTTGAATGATAGGGAAATGGCACAGTACACAGTATTGGAATTTTATGCTGCACCACAATGATAATTGATATAAAATCAAGGTCATGGCATCAAGGCCAATATAGCCTTGGATGATTAGTATGTGCTGATCTGACTCGAGTCGCACGAGAGAAGCCGAGCTGAGCAGAAATCCATGCCCATGCCTATAGGTCAGTGCACCAACATCAGAGCCTTTTTATCACACATCTCCGAATAATCTGACTAGTCCTTAAGTTAACTCGCTTGGCTAGCACTAAAACTATTTTGCCGACTATGCAAACTAACATGATACCTTTGATGTCGCGTTATGAACAAATCGGCTTAAAGGGTAGCGACACTGTCAACGAAAATGACCAAGAGAGCTAGTCTATCAAGACATGGGCGCTTGCATGATGGGGATTCACGACCTCCTGTTGTGTTTTAGCCACAACAGTGTCAGTTGCTGGTGGGATCTGTGCTCTTCTACTCTCATTTTCTATCTTCATGCGGTTTCCAAGTGGCATGCCTTTATCTGGATGTTGTACCGCTAGCATAGCTGCTGCCTGGCAGCCTTGGAAACAAGATGATCAACAATTCGACATAGATTTGGTATATAAGAACTTAAAATGGGGTGTGATTCAAGAGTCGTAGATGAACAATGGTATTGGGCATGCGACCTTTTCTGCGGATACTGTGGAGCCTCTTGTAAAGGGGGAGCTGTACAATTGATATGGAGCTATGAGATAGACAAAATATATAGAGGCCGTGTGCGTATGTATATCACGAGTATTTGCACTTTTTAGGATAGTATACCCCAAACTAAGGAGTAGGACAGGCCATCATAGCTTGATCCATCTTCCCATCCACCGCTGGTTAAGTTCCTTCGCCTCATCCACCAAACCCAACTCCAACAGCAGCTGAACAGACCCACGAACGGACGAATGCAGCGAAGAGCTAACCCAAGCTTGTGTTGGCGCAGTGTGCTCCCCAATGAAAATGGTGTTATGCTCCGTCTGATGATAAGCTGGAATGTATAGTTCATGCTGTGCAACATCCGGCCGACACCAAGAAGTCGCAGTATGTTCATCCTGCAGCCAGCAGAGACGCTCATAATCTCCCGTGTAGAGGTCGCGCGCTTGTTTACCATGCAGGCTGACAATCGAATCCAGCACCGTCTGGACATGTTCTTCGTCCGAGAAACTCACAAACCGGTCGCTCCAATCACCACCTCGGTAGTGCATGATGAGACCCGGGCGGGACTCGTTGAGTCCGTAGACTGGATAGTAAAGTGCTCCGACTGAGTCGCTTGATGGCCTGGAGTAGCCGCCAAAAATTGGCCGGTCGCCCTTTTCCCAGAATCGCTCGGAGAATAGTAGGGCTACTTTGCATGCGGACTTGAATCGCAGACCTGCTTCGCTGATTGCGCGGTCTAGGACCGAGGAGAATTTGGGTAGATCCATAAAGCGGGTCATAGTGAATGGAGCTGCCATTATTGTGTAGTCGTACTCTTTGGACTCGAAGGTGCGATTCGAGACATTGGGGTACCATGACAGTCGAGTCCGGGTGTGGCCATCGCTCCCCTTGACTGACTCGAGTTTCCGAATTTTTCGATTTAGAGTAAGTCTGCTACGGATGTGAGGAAGAAAGGCGTCAGACAGGCGGTTGAATCCTCCATCGATACAGAGCCATTCTGTTTCGCCCAGACTGCCCTTGCTTCCGTCTAGGCCGAGGTTGGAGTTATGATGCAGCTCATCCCAGAACACATCGTAGTCGGATGATGTCCAGATCTCGTCGGTAATGTTATGGCTGGCTTTGAAGACATGTCGCATCATTGCTTGTTCACTCCAGTCATCGAGCCCCTGATCCATAGCAGCCTTGTGGGCTCTCCAGACATCCTTCTGAAGAGATTTGAGAGTCTTTTCGTCTTTCAGAATTTTATTCATCTGGTTCTCGATATTGCTGTATTCAACACTTGACATTTCTGGGGGGTCCTTCAGGCTTGGATCCTCCTTGATCTCAGCGCGTGTTGGGATTCTTCCATCTGGATGGCGGCGAGTCCCTTGAGCATACAACTCATTGGGACTGTGTTGGATCCAGGGGATGAAGTCAATCTTCCACTGCAAGTCATTCTTGTTCATGTTGTTCAAGATCTTGGCCATTTGGAAAGTCAACTGATGATCAGAATACAGGAGCGTCTCATTGTCGTCTTTGTAAGTGACAGAGTGCGGCAGTCGCATCGGCCCCATTTCAGCCCATTCTTGAGTGCCTGCGACATATTTCGTCCGGAATCTGCCACCAACGCGATCGCTGGCTTCAATAATCTCCCAGTTGTGTATACCGACGCTGTCCAGCATCAATCCCGTTGCAAGTCCAGAGATCCCGCCTCCGACAATTGCGATCGAGGTATTCTTTGGTGACCCTTTTGAAGCAACTCCTCCACTACTTTCTACCTTGTCTTTGATTTTGGCTACTCCGTCAAACCAAGCTCCCTGCGCATCAAAATCCTTCAGCAATGGGATGTTTGTGTCTGCTGTGGATCGTTTCTTAGACTTTTTCTGCAGGGAGACAGGGCTGCTTCTGCCCAGGACCTTTTGCGTCAGATTTGCGCCATCAGAGCCATATATGTAAACACAGTGGTGGGTTGGAGCCTCATCTGGAACCACCCAAGCCAGGCGCTGTGGAGGATGATCATGGATTGAAAACTGTCCGATGATTTGGCCCTTTGCAGACGAATCCTCGCTGTCACAAGGCGCGTAGACAGATTTGATCAAACTGGGAGGTTGATCCAACCAATGGAGATGGATATTGGCTAGTTCACCACCCCGAACTGTCTCGGAGGTTGTCACTTTGACTATTTCTCGTTCAATGGTGGCTCCGAGTCCAGGCAAAGCCTGGGCGATCAGTGTCACCACCGCAAGGGATGATTTGCCAAGCATTGTGACTGCAATTGACCTCAGAATCTGGCATGGCTTGCTTGCAGCTTTTATGTTCACACGCTCGTTAGTGTATCTCACGCTTCGACGCTATTGAGGACCTTCTGTGGTGCCAAGAAAGGCACGAGAATGCGATCGACATAACCGCAGCAACTATTTGAGCCATCTTGTCTATTTCCCCGAAAAGTGGTAATATTCTCCGTATATCATCTCTGAAGAGTACCGCGTAGAAGGGGACCTTGTGGCCGATCAGCAATTTCACAGATCGACCGAATTAAATTGATTTTATAAGACAGACTAGACTTATGCCAGCATATATTCACGTCAAGCCTAGAGTATAGAATATGGAATAAGAACACAAAGGGGGTAAGCTACGGGCTGAGCAGAAACACTAGAGATACCGGTATCTTTATGACTTGTTCTATGTCATTAACTAGACAAGCTTGTACAACCTTCAGTTAGGTGACTTCAAATCCATATGGAGATTAGGATCCTTAGCCATAAGGACGATGACAAGCAGTAGGGTGGTAATGATCGTGTCCATTTTTTGAAGAAGCTTAGCTACGCCTTGAACATATAAAGTAAAGCTAGAGATATAATATGTAAAACCTACATGCTGTTGTCCTCTAGTATCGGTAGACTTATAGCTGCTGCACCATTCAGATGATGCTTGCGATCCTTTCCAACCAATCAACCGAGATCTGGATGTTATG